TTTTAATATTAGGGGGAAAGGATTAGGCCCACAGAAATATGCACGGAGTATGCAGGGTATTCGCACGTGTACCTGAAGATCTAGGATGTTCATTGACTCACTCACCAGGCACGCACGCACTCACTCACCCAGTCTAAGTTCTTCCCGTACTATCCGGCAACGAGTGGCAAAAAAAACCCGACACCAAGGGTCCAGGCGCTCTCAAAGCGAGGGGAGCACGAGGGGTCAAGATTGCAATGTTGACCAGACAGACGATGACGGAGGTTCAGTCGAAGGGTGCTTCCAGATCCAACAGCAGCGAAGACTCCGCAGCAGTGTGGGATGTGACATCTCAGGAAGACATTGTCGCAAACCTTGAGCTTACACAAGCCGACGGCGCGGCTGACCCAGCGACTCTCAAGCTTGGCATACTGAAGCTTGCGCTCTCTTCAATTGCGTTGTCTGTGAGGTCATGTCGGCAGAGGGTATGCTGGACGATCCTTGCATTTTCGCCGGTTCTTGCAAAGGCCCCCAACATACTGAAACTTGATGGTATGCGAACTGCTTCGGGACCGCCTATGTTGGGACTTGAAGGCGAAGCCGATTCGAAGAAAGCGTTGAGGAAGGCGGTGACAGCCTGCCAAGCCTGCAAACCTCAGCTGCTGAAGCCTGCGACCTGCAGCCTGCCAGGTCGAGAAGAAGCTTCGCCAAGTGCAGAAGCTTTTGGAGCGGCAGGCGGTCCTTGGTCGCTTTGTTCAGCCGGGGCAGAGCAGACTCCTGAATGTAGTGCAGAAAGCTTTTGAACTTCGTGCTGCGGTCGAGCTCCAACAGGACATGAGAAAGGATTCCAAAGGTGTTGTCATGAAGCTGTGTCACAACATTGGAACTGAAGTTGTATCTCACACACGGAGCGACAGAACCCCGAAGAAAACATCTGGGTGAAAGGCTTCTGGCGCACCGCTGAATGCAGAGGAGCTGCAGAAGGCACATACCGGTTTGGTTTGAAAAGGCCACGCGAGCGATTGCCTTAAAGCTATTTCCCCGAGGTTGTGTAACAAGGGAGGTTCTTGTAGAGTGGTCTAGGATGCTCCTTGTGTGGTTTAAGGCATAAGACGGCAAGAAGCAACACCAAACGACGCATGATATGTGTGCATGTATGGGTGCGTGTGCGTCTTCGTGTTTGCATCACCCGCCACGGGAGGGTGTGACTCGGAAAGGTCAGCATGGAAGCATCGAGGGCAGGAGTTGAGCAAGGCTTACTTGAGGTGCAGCTATGTGGCCAGTGCTGCATGCACTTAGACTTGAGACTGCAGCCCAGCAGGCAGACTTCTGTTTCAGGGACGTGCACTCCCTTCCTCCCTTCCTCGATCTCGCAGGGACTCGGGAAGCGACTTGCGCAGATGGAAACGAAGCCCATAGTGCATGATTGGGTATGGTGCAGTTGGGGAACCTGGTCGCTTCCGCGCGTGTGCGTCGATTCACTCAAGGTTGGTATCTGTGCGGCCCTTTCAAGCGGCAATCTTGAAGAAAAACGTCGGGAATGGCATGCAAAAGACATAAACGCCCACGTCGTACGATCTTAGCAGCAGAGGACTGGAAATATGTCTTGAGTCCGCCACTTGCTTCCCCTCCAGAAGGGCGGACTCGCTGGAGGAATGCTAAATTAAGCGGCCGTGCGCGATGTGAGAATCAGGCTGATAAGAATATCTTTCATATACATTTCACAGGTGGAGCTGATGTGGGACTCATAGGGAGAGTCTCGCCGCCTGCCCAGAGCGATGCGCGACGTGTCATTGACGACCTTGCTGCGGAAGTTGAACTGGGGCATTGGGAATTGCATTCCCTGACTCACGCGATCCGCGAATCTCCAAGTGGTTCGCTGGGATGGCTCGGATGCCTTGGCCCAACAGTCTTTACAAGCCAGTACCAGTCGAAGGTGCCGCCGCCGCTTCCAGGAGTTGAGTTGAAGGCACTTTCCTGCAATTTCAGCCTGTCTTTCAAAACGCCAGATGCCAGCCTGAAAACCCGACCTCAGATGAATTGTTCGCAGGACTGCTGGAGACAATGCGAAGTCTGCTGTAGCCTCGCATGCTAACGACGTGTTTTTGGAGGGCATGGTGGCAGCGGAAGCATGCAATCATGGGGTCTCAGAATGTTTCAGCAAGGGGCCAGAGGCGCGAACCTTGCCTCGGCCAAGGATGTCAGGAACGCGGTAGGAAGAAGCAACAAGGCCAAGCATGGCCAAGCAGCATATCCTGCCTCGGTGCATTGTTGCGATCTCAAATCAGACCCCGTTACGAACGTCTTGTTGCTTCTTGTGTCTTTCCCTTTCAGCTTATGTAGTAAATTGTAGTCACTTGTGCAGTTTGAGTCATTGAGTCGTCTCAGCCTTTGCAAGTGCAAAAGATCTGCTGGCTGTCAGGTTGCCGCAAGAAAGCAACTGCGCAAGGAACCTGAAGGGCAAAGCTCTCGTGCTGCGTTTCTCGGCTTGTGCCTGGAAGCTCCGCCACATCCTGTAAAGGAGCGGAAGAGCTTTTCATCCAGCAGGGAAGTAGAAGAGGTGCGTGCTGCATCCTTGCTGCGAAAGATGGCTTGCGCCGCCTGTGTCCCTGGAGGACGTCCAAATGCGAGTTCCAACGGTGAAGCTGTCAGCTCCTGCCCAACTAGGACTCTCCTAAAAAGTTCTGCTGACCGAGGATGGCCTCGAAAAAGCACGCGTTTATCTGGACTACGTGTCCAGATTCACGCCCGCACCTCCCCTGTAGCGTCCTCAGTCTCCATGCTCCATGCGTGCACGGAGAAGAGCCAAGTCGGCAGAGTCTGCTGCATTCTGCCTGCATTCTGCCTGCTGCCAGGTCGACAATCATTTTCCATTGTCGGCGAATGGCCAAGGCTGAGCTAACCGAGTTCCAGCTGCTGGAGGCTCAAACCGAGCCTGTCACGAACAGCCCACCTGTGAAGCATGTCGCTGGCAGGATTTCAAAGGCTCCAAGTCATTCCAGGTTCGGCCTGCAGACATCTCTGCTGCCCCAACAACAAATCAAATCAGTTCTTTTGCACCATCGAATCATGTCTGGGTGGTCGGACAAGAGTGGCGAGAGGTCAGTGACTTGTATTGTTCGTACTTAGCTTGGACTTCGGCTGGTCAGCATCCAGTGCTTTTACTGCGTAGCATGTGTTTAACTCTGATCTCCGGCCTTAGCTTAGACTCTAAGACAGTAAGTGCTAGGGGCCGGGGTTGCTCTTGGCCTGGATTGGATGCTTCGGGTGGGTGTCGGGGTGTCACGACGAAAGAAAGCGCAGCCAAGACACTTGGCATGCATTCGTGAAGACTGAGCACTTGACACCAAAAGACTTCACGCTTGAAAATCCAATGCCTGCTCAATTTTTTGATTCAACAAGTATTTGTGAATGCTTGAATCTCGGAAATCCAATCCGCTGACTGTCTTGTCCAAACAATCCCTGGAGTGTCAGCCATACTTGGAATGCGGTTAGCCATGGCAGATCATCGCAGCCCGGGGCTGCCCCACGTACCCTACGAAGGTTGAAGGGTGCAGAACCAGGGGTGGCTCAGGCATCTTAGTCTCTCCGCCCCTTCTGCATCCCTCATCCCTCCACTGTGCCCATCGACCATCCTTTGCCAGCGCGAGTCTTCGCGTACCCATTCACGGCAACAAAATTCAACGAACTTTTACATTCGGCATGGCTGTTTGATCCACAGGAGATGTGTGGCCTCCTGTCCAAGGTCGCGGCTCCCCTCCTAGCACCGTCCAGTTTCCGTCGAGCGACACGAGGCTGAGGCCTTCAAGCGATCCCCCGGCAGCTTCAAAGCCAGCAAGGAGAAGGAGAAAAGGTCGGTCGTTCAGATGCCAAACTGCAGCAGTTGGAGCTTTGTCTCTCGACTGTTCAAGGGATCGGGAACTGCGAGCTCAGCAAGCCTATGAAGTGGAGTGCCGGAGGCGACTTAAGCCGTGATCTTGAAGCGCTTGGAAGTAGGTGTAGCTGATAGCGATGACGAAGGAAATACGAGCAGCGAATGGCGCGAAAGGCCTCCATGCCATGCATGGACATCATACAATGCCAAGCAGCATCACAGCATCTGCGCCTCAGGCTGCCCGTTTAGGATTGCCGCTGGAAGAGGTGATGAGAGCCTCTGCAGTCCCAGGAGCTGGATCAATTAGTGACATGAGTGACCTCCTTAAAGTTTGGCGGCGAGAGTGATCTTCAGGAGGCGTCCTGCATTTCAATGGCGAGCCGAGCTGGCTGGCGGAGAAAGGTGAAGAGACATCCACCCGGACAGAGAGCCTTCTGATGTTAGATCATAGTACATGGGAGGCAGTTTCAAAGTGCCAGGCCCATCTGAATGCAGAATCAGCATGTTCTGCCTACAGGATGCCTGGACGTGATGGAGACCAGCCAGCCAGGAGAACCAGCAAGCCAAAAAGGTAAAGCGAGACTCGAGCATTGCTGCATGCGCATCTTCAGTCGCACAAGCCTCGATAAGAAAAGACAGCTTACAGTGCTAGTCATTCCACTCGCAGCGCCTCAAGATGCAGGAGCTTCCATCGGACCAAGAGACCTCATGAGTCGCACGTTCGCTCTAACCTGACCTTCCTGGATCGCTGCAAAGCGTCGGACAGAAGCCCCGCACGCAGGCCCTTCGCACATCGTTTTTCGCAATGCAAACTCGGTGTGATTTGGACCGCAGTCCCGTGAAGTCATGGCCCAGCGGCCGAAGCTTTTCAGTGCCATGCCATGTCAATCCTCAACGCAGCGCATGATAGGCCGAGTAATTTCAGTCGCTGCAGGTAGCCTTGTATTTTTGCAGTCCCGGCAGGGAGATCTCAACTCCTGCGATCTCCGACCGCATTGCTCAGGCACGGGATGTTCTTAGGTCGAGGAGCCCCTGTTTATGCCTGGAGGCCGTGCTTTCACGCTACGATGAGTTGCCCGGCCGCGGCAAGCCCCAAGGCATCACAGGGAAGCAGCTGATGAGAAAGAGAAAGACTTCTTCTCCTTCCTAAATACTCAAAAGGCAGACATCGGAACTTCTCGATCTCCAAAATTCCATTGGGTGATAGCGGGTGGCAAGTTTCTACCAGAGCCGACCCGACGCCTAGGGGCGGGTGCGCGTGCCTTTTTTGTTGTTGGATCGGCGTTGTGAGCATCCGCTTTGAACCAGCTGAAAACCCTTCGAATCTGCTCTGCAACATCCCTCAAGCCCCTTCCTCGCAACACCGAGCTCTCAAACATGTTGATAACCGCCCTAGCAAAGTTGAACCCCCCTCTTTCGAGGCACAGTGCTGCAACCATACAGTCCCTTGAGACGCCCCCCCAAGCATCAGTCTTTGTCTCGGCAGCATCTGGATGGAGCTTTGCCGACTTGGCTCTCAATTCTCCGTGAAGCCCCGAGACCTCGATCCTTCGCGGCAGAACCTTCAGGGCAGGGTGGCTGTCGATGGACCAGTGGAGGTCCTTGAGAGATTCATATGGCAGGGCGCTCATGGACAGTTCTTGCCGGCATTGTGGCCGAGAAGCCTGGCAACCATTTGCAGGTTTTGGCCGCAGTCTCAATCCGCCAAATCTGCCTTGCAATGCCTTGCACGAAGATCCACCCAAAGCCAACCAACCAAGGCCTTGGCAACCGGGACTCGATGCCTGGGTGTCGCTGCTATGACCACTGGCAATGGCCAGGCCTGGCGAGGGCCGCGCGCTGCTCTCTTTGCTCGAGCATGAGGGCATGAAGGGTGGTGAGTCTGCTGGGTGGGTTCTCAGGTGGCTGCGGGTCTTGAGTTTGATTTACCTTGGTCATTGTTGCCACACAGCGGATGTTTTTGTTGACCCTTCTGTTCTCCCCTGTAGCCCCCGCTTGCCTCACCCACTCATCCGAACAGAATTCTCTGTATGACTTGCAACACCAAACCCGACAAGAACTACCGGTCGCTGCCACATTCTTTGCAAAATCAGCTCTCACCGGCCTTCGGAGTATCTTGCTGAAATGCTGAAAGAGCGCTCTGTGTCTCTCTCTCTCTCTCTCTTTCTCTCGCTCTCTCTCTCTCTCTCTCGATCTTTCTGTCGCTCTCCCTCTCTGTCCGGTCCGTGGTTCTCTGTCTGTATATCAGTCTCTTTCTCGCTCACTCCATGTCTCTCCGCACTTGCGCAAGTCCGGTCTGCACGGCCGTGGGGGCCAACTCGAGCAAACTCCAGGCCCACTTTACAGTCGCTACTTGTGCTGTCAGTACCTGCTCAGTCTCTGAGCCTGCCGCAGGGTGTTGAAAGCTAACCAGCTGCAGGCGAGCGCCTTTCCCCCTTGGCTGTTTTGACCGCTCGCTCGCTGTTGAAGCCACGGGAAGACCAAACTGCTTCGACTAGGAAGGGGAGCCCAGGCCTCTGGATTTCCACCTGGGTTCTGTACAACCAATACCAGTCCCTGCCAGTGGACTACTGTAGGGCATTCTCCTTGCTGCTGACTTGCAGTAGCTGCTGCACCATCGCCGTTGGCTCCCCCTGCCGCTGCACAAGTCGCGAAGGTGCTGGGAACTGCTGAGGCAAGCACTGGCAGCCAAACACTGTGGACTGAAGGCCCTGCTTTCAAGTGTGCCTGTGATCTTGGTCCTGTGGCATTTGCCTGGGGCGCAAGTTCTCGCCCCATGAAGACTGCCCACTCAGTCTCTGCATCCTTTGATCCTTTATAAAGTCATGATTTGACTCGGCAGTACAGACGGCCGCAGAACGAATCACAACGCATGATGCACGGGCTTCCCAAGGGCTGTGGAATCCTTGCTCTGCGGCTTCTCGGCTCTGTCCTCGCTGTTTACCCCTGACACCTGCAGTAGCCGCGTAGCCCAGATCCTCTGCCGGCTTCCTGGCTTTCCACGTCCTGCTTCAGGGCTCCTGGCTGCGATCGTCCGGATGTTGGTGCTTCTGACCTAGCCGGACTTCAATTCCAGAATGGGTTGCCGATCGGGGGGGGCCACACCACCCTCCGGCAACCATCGTCGGTTTCACGGGCCAGATCATGGACTCCATCCTTTGATGCGGTCCTTCCCTGGATCCTGTGAGGTACCCGGGCAGATGCTCCACTGCCCATGTCCATCGCATAGCCAGCAGATAAATGGCACCCACTAGTGCAGTTTGGCTTCACAGTGCCAAGGTCTTGGCATGTCTTGGCCTCATGCACGTACATGCATGTAAACTGTACAGTAAACTTATCTCCCAGTCTGATGCAGGGCAGGCTTGGAGCCATGGGGTGCTGCACCGGTGGAGTTCTGACTCGTTGCTACGGCTTGGTTACAGCAGTCGGCCAAACTTTCATGGTGGGCAGTTCTACAGCTGGTTGGCTCTTCGAGTTTAGTTGAGTGCATCCAACCTTTGCCTAAAAGCACAAGCGAGCAAGCCTGTCTTTCGGCCGAGTTTTCATCCTGAATATGGCGACAGTTGCTTCAAGCTGGGGTTGCAGGACGAACACAAAAGCACCATGTTTTCACCTGCCCACGCGGAATTTCCATAGTTGCCGGAAACTGCATTTTCGGCAGGGCCAGCGAGGCCAGCGATCTTGAGCTGTTCTCATTCGCGTTTGTCCGGCCCTGGGGTCCGCAGCCCTCGTCACGAAGCCTTTATGGGAACGCAAGCGACACTTTGGAATTCTTCCGACTGAATCCAATACGCCCGAACCCTTAACGATGTCCATGTTACGCGCACATGCATTGGCTGCGGTGCATCCATGCCCGAACGATGATCGCTTCAGTGTTAGTAGCACATCCATTGGACTGTCTGCCCCGTACCCATGCACTAACGATGATTGCCTTATCCGTTGACCATTGACGATTGTATCCACGCCCGAACGGTGCCAATTTCCATGCTACCAGAGATCCATTGGTGAGTGTATGTATCCATACCGGAGCGATGCCAGCATCCATGTTTTGAGTACGTCCCTTGGCCAGTGCGACCACTGTACCCATGCCCGGTGACTATATCCATGCGGGAACGATGACAACGTCAATGTTATGAGCACTTTCATTGGCCAGTGTATCCACATCCGAACGACGGCAACCAGTCCAAGAAGTGGCCAGTGTATCCATGCCCGAAAGTCGATAACGTCCACGACACTTGGACAGTGGACGTACCACTGGCCAGAGTGTCCAGGCCTGAACATTTCAGCATCTGCCGACACTCGCCGCAGTTTGGAGCCCTACTTGACAATGACGAAGCAAAATCAAACTCAAACTGTCCGTAGAACTCGACAAAGCATCCACCCCACTCCAGCAACCCCAAAAAAAACCAACCGAGACCTTCTCATGCCTGAACACAAGCTCAGATCATCTTGCGAAGGTTGTCCACGACTGCCATGCCGAGGCCCTCTCTTGCGTTGCCTTGCATGTGCATAGCATCAGGATTGCTGGGCATCGGTGCACGCTATACAGTGCATTTCGTTGAAAGCATAGCGCGGCATGTGGCACGTTTGAGCTCGCCCGGAAGATCCGGTGTTGTGGCGTTTGTGTGTGAATTCTGCAGGCACTGTGCCGGAGGGTCTTCCATCGCTTCCTGCTGGCTGACATGCTTTGCGCTGCAGAGACCTTGGGACAAAAAGTACCTCCATGGTGGCCATTGTGTTTTCAGCTCAGCGGCTTACAGGCTAACGTCGCCGCTCCCGAAGCCACGGCTTTGGCCTCGAAAGGGTGCGTGGAATGTGGTAATCTGGAATGCTTCAGCCATTCAGGCAGTTCTGCTAAAGCGAGCGCATACGGAGGCGTGGGCAGGTTTGCTAAAGATGTTGCCTTCCTACCTATTCTTGGTTGTTGGTGCAGCCTTCATTTTCGGCTGTGTCCCAGGAGTTGATGTTTGCTGTGCAAGAGAACATCCGCTTGCACTTTTATGTCAGAGCCCAAGCCTGGAGCCGACGTTTGTGTCGCCTCCCTGCCTTGGAGATCTGGGAGGTCAGCGCGCTTCCCTGTGGGCAGTGCGACGGGTCCTCGAAAAGACGGCCCTGCCTCTGAGCCTCCAAGCATTTCTCGATATCCCCAGGCCCTGCTGCCACTGAGCAGCAGCAGTGAAGGAAGTTTGGCACGAAAGCTCCGGGAGGAGGCAGGCGTTAACAGCCATGCCGCGTTGTGAGCACCGTTCTAGGCCGAAGGCATGTGTATCGCCAGACACTGGGTGCAGGATGCAGCCGCACTGCCAGCGCCTGTTTGCGACCGGAACAGGAGCTGCAGTCATTCTCTTTAGCGCCGCGTATGGCCAGACTTCAACCCAGAACCTGAAAGCCAATCCCACTTGACATGCTCTGTGGCTATTGCTTCAGACTGCCGCAGAACTGGAGCCAAACCTTCGCACGGGATGCCTACAGATCCGAAGGTCCGGCATCCTCTCACAATCTCTATCTATCTATCTATCTATCTATCTATCTATCTATCTCTCTCTCTCTCTCTCCCTCCCTCTCCCTGCGTATACTGCCTGGCTGCGTATCTGGTGTGTGTGTGTGTGGATGTCCGGGATCGGGTCTGGGTGTGTGTGTGTGTGTCTGCAACAACATCACCTTTCTGAGGAAGTTGTCGAAGTAGCCAGTACTGTCACTGATTTGTGTAAGCAACTGCAAAAAACGCAGACTGCGCTGGACAGTCTTGTACAGGACGTTCTGAGTCATTTCTCGAGTCAGCAGCACATGACATTACCTGCCACACAGTTGGCGATAACTCAGCCGGACCTGCCGTGACTCCAGCACGCGTTGTTGCATCCTTTAAAAGCTGGTCTGCACCATGTGAGAATACCTTGACTGTGCATGTCGTGAATTGAGACTCCTTTACTTTCAGCCTGTTTGCAGCCGAAGGTCTTGAGTTTTGTGCAGCATTGCTTTACCTTCTACAGCATGCGCGACTCTTCACATCTTGCGGGTGAGGATTCGGCTACCTCTTGAACACCTCTTGAACAACCATCTATATGACGAGAACGGATTACGCAGGCCTTACTGCAGGTTTTGGAGCACTCAAGTTCGGGATCTCAAGCATCTCCTTCATCGGCATCATCGTTGGACAGCGAGTTTCGTGAACTCCTGGCCCAGTTCATCGAGAGTACTACGGCTGAGATCACTGACCTGAAACTTCGTGTTTCCCAGCTAGAGTTTGTACACAGCTAGAACGTTTCGCTTTCTTGTATGAGTGTGTACACTGCGATTACCTGCTACATCTTCCAACATGACAACCGGCTTAGACCGGGTAGGTGTGTGTGTGTGTGTGTGTGGAATTCCTGTTCCTGAGAAGATCTCTCAGAATTCAGTGTGCGTTGAAGAACGCACGGGGCAGTGGCCCACTCAAGAGTCCACTGCCAACGAAGTTACTCTTGAAATGGGAAGATATCCAGGCTGATCACCTGGACGTACCTGCAATGATGTCCAAAAAGACATCCGAGCGAAGACGTAGTGATTGCGCTGTTCTGTAGTTATGACTAATCTATCAGCTTTGCAATGCTGAGTACACACTGAATATCCCAGACAGAGTCCGATGTCTCCAAATGTTTCCATTGACAATCCTGAAGACTTCCTGACCATTGACAATTCTGAAGACTCCTTGAAGATATGCTGGCCAGAGTTTTGCTGTTTGAAGATTGCACAAATTCGCGACGTGAAGAGAGGTGATGACGAGACAACCAGCCTTGACTGGGTATGTGGGTGGGTGGGTGGGTGGGTGTGTTTCCGTGACAGTGTGTGTGTGTGTGTATGTATGTATGTATGTATGTATGTATGTATGTATGTGTATGTATATGTATATGTATATGTATATGTATATGTATATGTATAAGGTATGTATGTATGTATGTATGTATGTATGTGTGTATGTATGTATGTATGTATGTATGTATGTATGTATGTGTCATATTACAAAAATATGTGTGTGTGTACGCACTCAAGTAGGTATGAAGGCATGTCGGGCTTCACGACCTTGTCTTGCTAGGGAAGCTTCAGGTATCAATGAAGCAGATGGAATAGTGGACGACTGGAGTTGAACCCTTGAGGTGAGCATGGATTTGACTTGCGGGCTTAGCGCGTGTTTTTGGTCCGCAGAGGCGGTAATATGTTCCCACGGAAGGACCGGCCCCGCTGGCCCCCACAATAATTCCTTCGCGGCTTGCCACCCATCATCTACGATTAGGATTTTGGCCACTTTTGGGATTAACAGGGCAGTCCTTTCGGTGATAGGGGTTGTTTGGCCATCCATCATCTGCTGTTGGTCTTGAGGATTGCTGGGACCCAGTCAGTCTCTTTTTATCGATTCGGGCTTGCCATCATGCCATCTTCGGGCTTAAGGTTTGTCATCCATTTCCTTCGAGCGGGTTCAGGATTAGCCATAGATTCTCATCTCCATGTACAGCTGACATCCATCACATCTACTTTGGGCTCCGCGAGTTTAGGGTAAGCCATGTTTGCCATCCATCCCTCAATAATACTCTCTGCAGGCTTTAAAGAGTTTGCCGTCCAGGGCTTGCCGTGGATCATCTCCGCTTTTTGTTCAGGACTTTGCTTCCATCATGCCTACACTGAGTTTAGGAACTACAGGACGTGCCGTCTGTCATTTCCTTTGGGCGCTCAAAGGTTTGCGACCTTTTATCCCTTTCCAGGGCTTTAGATTTTCCGTACACCATATTCCGTGAAAGCTTAGGGGGGGGTGCAGGGTTTAACATCCATCATCTGGATTTAATTAAGGTTTGCATAGGTTGCCACCTGTTATCTCGTTTCAAGTTGTATTGTTGTCCATCTACTGTGCTCCTGTGGGGTTTGCCATCAAGCGTCTCCCTTTAGGGTCTACAGATTGCCACCCAATCTTCTCCATATCAGAACCTTCCAAGGAATCCGGCTTTTGACGCTCGTCATCTCGCATGGGAGTTTACGCTTGCCATCCGTAAACCCCTAAACAATCACTCCTCCAAGCGTTTTTTTCCATCTGGCATGCTGTTCTGCCATCAATCATCTCGTCTCGGGTTTGCTTGGAACGGCGTGTGTTTGCTGTATCTGACATGTAGAGAAACAGTGTGTGTGTGTGTGTCAGTCACAAAGACATGCTTAATCTGATTGCCGGCATTGGGCCATGAATGCTCTGTTCTCAGAACGGAGTACTATTTTGCTAGAGCATGTGGTTACTTGCTTGATTTTCCACTTCTGGCACCTGCATGTTCATGATGTTGTTCCCTCTTCGACTGTCAGATTAGGTGTTCTTCGTTCGTGAATATTTGTGTTCCTGTCCAGGGGTCAACTCGGATAGCCCTGCTGCGGCATCGACCTGCAAGTTTTCATTGGGACCCATGCGGCTTTCTGGCACTTGTGTATGCATGCTGCTTCTGTTTGTTGAGAAAGTTCTTCATGCTTCGAATCGGCCACCTAGACGCATATACCTGCAACTCGGAATCGGTACCAGTAAGTGCAAGGCACCTTTCTAGGTCGTTCGTAGGATCGGCCAAATGCAGATCTCTGCTGAGCAGTGAGGAGAGGATTCCGCGTGAATGTAGCTGTGTGTGTGTGTCTTCGACATTTGTGTTTGTTTGGTTCTCTCTGTCTCTGTGTCTCTCGCGCGCTCGTTCTCGCTCGCTCTCTCTCTCTCTCTCTTGCTCTCTTTCTCCCCATGTTTGTGCCTCTGTGGCCTCCTTTCAGGTTTCAGACTGACACTCTCGCTGCTTGTTCAGAACAATGAAGCACGTAACATCAAATACTTGCAGGCCGATGGGTTCAATTTCCATCGTGATGGAGTTCTTCGCTACAAATCTGGACGAAGCGACACCAGGCATATCCTGTCCGTGCGAGAGCAGACCTTGCGAAACGCTTCCGAGAATCCACAGCCGAGGCCTGATTCGAGGACAGTGTGCTACAGCTGCTCTGACAAAATTTGTCGCTGGAACCATGTTGGGTGGCAGGCCTGGGATGCTACCTGCTCTGTGATTGTAGTGGATCTTGACAACCTTGTAGGGCATGAAATGCAGCAACAACGATAATGGGTGACAGTACGTGCAAGGTGATAATTCATCAGGAGCAGCAGGAACGGCCATGGGGCTTGAGGGCGGCAGTGATGTGGTCCGGGACCTTTGCTGAGGAAGGGAACCCTGGTACCTCGTCAGCCCTTTCGGCTTAAGGCCAAGCAACATGCAAAGGCTTCACATATATGGCACTCATAAGCACTCATGGCTCTGCATCAAGCCTGGAACCCTTTCACTGTTTTGAGTCAGTCGTGCCAGGAACGGCTGTGTAGAAGGTAGTAATGTAAAACTTCCGGCGCCCACTCAAAACTGCCGGAGCAATGCCAGCAAGGCTGAAGAGGACGAAGCTTGCCAGCCCTTGCCGACGGCTGCATTCATTAACGTTTCTTGCAGCCGCAGCCCGAACAGGAAGCAATTCAGCTGCATCTCAGCAGCACTGCTGATTTTGTGGAAGATGTGTGTGTGTGTGTGTGTGTGTGTGTGTGTTTTGTGTTGGTTGCATTGCTGTCTTGGTGTCACGCACGACGCTTTAAGGCCTGCACCGGCTTCGCCCTGAAATCAGTGTCATATTGAACGACGCCACGCTTCGCCCTTACTTTGCGATGCTGCGGTTCGAGGCTTCACATGGCCGAAACGCAGAGTGCAAGGCAGCCACCTGAAGTGCTGGACTCCTTCCACAAGGTACAGCTTGCGAATTGCGGTGACCCGATCGCAGCCCCCGCTGTCACCTCCACATCAGCGGCGGTGTTGTATCCTCCACGAGACTTCGGAATCACCCGCTATCAACGAACCAATGAGACACTAATCTCGCAAAATCTCCCCATGCATGCAATCACAAATACACTTCCCAAATTTTCCTCCTGGTCAGGGCTCCGGACAATGAAAACCTAAAGCCGACATGGCCAGCCCCCCTTCAGCTTTGATACCAGCCCACATTGTGACAAGAGCCTGCTAGACGGCGATGGTGCTGCAAGAGCTTGACAAGAAAGGGTTGAGGTGCTTTGCGGGATTCGGCACGGAGATGTGCAGCACGACCGGCGACGGTTTCCCAAGGGCACAAAGGCAGCAGCACAGCTTGCATGCGCCAGTAATGTTTTTTGACATCTCTGCTTTCGGCTGTGCCCTCTGTACGTTTTCACTTCCTTGCTTAGGTTGTCCTGCTGTCGTAGCGTGTCGAGAGCAGAGCTTGGGATGATGTGCGACCGCCGCAGGTCTTGGGCCGGAGAGAATGCGTGCTGTGGACGACAGGCATAGAGCCACTTGTTCTTGACAGGATTTGACAGGTGTGAGCGGTTCGCAACCTCAGCCTCGCACAAGCGGCCTGTAAGGATGGTCGTTGCTGGAGTGCTCAGCCCCTGGAGTCCTGGAGCAGTTTTCAGCTACGCGGTGGACGCCCACAGCACAGACTGGCACGAGTTTACCCAGACTTGAGGTCCTTTGTCGGATTTGACATTCGTCGGAGCCCGCTGGTCCTCATCGTCAGCTCCGTTCTGGTCCTGCCTCTTGGATGCGAGAGTTTTCAGGCCACCGTGAAGCGGAACATTCTGAGAAAGGCAGACCATCGAAGAGCGCAGACATACCCTAAGTGGCCAGTGGAAGCAGATCTTGGGCTCAGCACCTGCTCACATCAGAATGGCAGAAACTTCTTGCAAGTGCATTGATGTGTAGAAATTTGTAAACGCTCAGAAAAAGCGGGAAGGTGTTTCGGCAAGCTCTGTAGCGTGCTACGGAACGATTCAGCCAGAGCGGCAGCCGCCTAATCTTGAACAGCAATGCAATCTTGCATGCGGGGTACCCAACGGGAAGCTAGAACTCGTTCCAAAAGGGTCTTCTTTCAGTTGATGCATATCGATAGGATGGTCGACAGATACCCTTCCGAAGTAGTACTTTGCACAAGCCCAGTGTCATTGCAACCGAGTACACCTTTCTTTGCCAAGGTTAGCAGCCATTGGCTTTCACGGTGCCCTAGTCCTGAGCCAGGTCGGGCAGGTTTGTGTGTCTCGGCTCATGTATGTTCGACGTGGCATTGGTTGATTTGCTTCTGTGCAGCTTCACATCTTCATGCACATGCTTCTGGCGACCTCGATTCCAACAGCAGTCTGTTCGGAGCCGAGAACTCTGCAGATCCTCATGCAGTGCGCACTTTGACGCAGCGGGCAAGTGGTGGATGTTGAGGCATCAACTTCGCAGTCGAAGACTTTGCAGGCCACAGCCATAGCACGCCAAACACAGGTTGTTGATTTGCAGATGCAATACGTTTCCAGGTGTGTTTGATGGCAAGAGCCAGACACCATCTTGGCTGCAGCAGCCCGAGAGGTGACAATGTTGTCTACTGTCTACAGTTAGACATGACTTGGGAACCTGTTGGCACTAGCCTGTCGAGCGCAAAGGGAAAGAGCAGCGTAGGCACAGTTAATCAATCACAGATTTACAGAAGGTGGTGCGTCGTTTGTGTCACTCATTCTGCTTCGTCAGGCAGTTCGAGACCGGTGCTGGCATTACGCATATCGTTTTGTCGCATATGTTGCATGCAGATTCTTTATCGGATGTGTCTCTGTCTCGAGCATGTTTCCTGCTTCGTTTTGTTCCAAAGCAGTGCTCGGCAAGAGGACATGTTTTCTAAGATAGCTAAGCTTCACCATGTGATCATGTCACTGCCTTGCTACCAGGCTATCAGATTTGTGTACGTGCAAATGCCCAGGTTGCTGCTGCTCCTGACGCTTCCATACATCGTGTTCCTCTGCACCTGCCTCGGTCCTCGATCCTCGAAGTGTGGATAAGACTTTCGGCTTTGCGCAAGCTTTGTGCGGAGGCCTTGCGCTGGTGAGCTTCGTGCTGGGACTCGCGATGGCTGAGCTCAATGAGAAAATAGCTGAGGTGGGCGAATGGCTTTCATATGTGCATGCGCAGTGACAATAGGCTTTGCATTCCACTCCGATATTGATTGGCGTTAGTGTCGGAAGTCTTTTCGTGGCTACGCGCATCCTGAATGCTTGGATGGAGGAGCGGAGGTTCAGTTAGTTAGGTCGTTTAGGTCCTACAGTCCCGAAGCGAACCGTAGACGCAAGAGACATGAACAAGCCATGCAGACGCAGACAGATGCAGATGCCGTGATGTTGGCAAATGTTCAGCCTCGCTGATCGCAGCATTGATCGCTGCTTCGCCCGAGTCTCGGAAGATGAATATTCATGCAGCGTTCTGTCAGTGGAGGTCGTCGGCTTCATCCCTTCCCGTGCTGCCGAGCCTCATCTCACCCTTTGTTTCTCGAGTGCTTGACTTGTGTTGTGTTGTCCAAGTCTGTTTACGCTCATGTGGGTGGCTCTTGTTGTGTAATGCGTCTAGGCATGTAGGAACAAGCGTTTGCGATCGTCGACGTTCTTGGGTTCGATCTCCCCTCCGCCTTTCGCCCTTGTCGTCGCCCACCTGCATTGAGCCGTTGGACGTCTCTCCCCATGTCGACCCGCTTGGCTTCAGCGACGTCGGGGTGCAGACGGACGGGCGCATCTTCATCGCCACTTTTGTGGCCGGTGCCTCCATCGAAGTTTTGACGGCCGCCCTCCGCGGCAGCGCCGCCAGCCCAGAAACAGCTGTCAGTCTGGTCACCCGAGGCCGACGGAGCCGTGGGGCCAAACGAAGAGCACCGCGCCAGGCTGGCTGGCCAGGAGGCATCGCCAAAAAAGCGCGCTGCATGGCCGGGCGGGCCTTCGCCCTTTGCCCTTCGGGGGCGTCCAACAAACGATTCACGAAGCCACGCACTTTCGTCCTTAAGAAAGCTTTCACTGCGACTGCACTTTTCTCCTGTTCGGTCCTACAAGGAAACAGAAGGAGCAGGGCAGGCTGTCTGGATCAATGGGACCTTGGTCACCTTTGGTCGTTTGATATTGTCTTGCGCCTAGCCCTGAAAAGGCTCAAGTTGCGGATGAGAGCTTGTGGTAAGTGATTTCGTTTGCCTGCCCGAAGAAAACCAGCTCAAATTGCCGCTCAACTGGGAGCCTGTTTTTCCACCCAGCTGGGCCAGCCAGCGATGCATTGACTACTTCTTGGGAACTGCTTTGAATATAGTAATCATAGAGTCAGTGACTATAAGATCTCGGACCAGAAAATCGTGAAAGCTGATTGGCACCAGCGTCTTACTGATGCGCCCTCTCACGTTTTGCAGGCTCTTCCGTTGGGCCCTGAACCAGTGGATTCCAAGTGTCCCCAATGGTGCAAGTTGGTTGCTTAATGAAGCTTGGGAAGGGAACGTAGTTTTCTCAGAAACAGTGGTTTTGTCGATTGATGAAAGATGGGAGTCCTTCAATCAGGCCCTTTATCATGCCTTGCTGGAGGCTGGCAGTCACCACTAAGGTGAGATGCTTGGACGAATCCCACGAAATATCGCCAGGAAGGGTAAAACCACTAAAGCGAAAATGCGTAGGCTCAAGGAAACCTTCTTTCAACCGGCTGGCGACCTTACGTCCTTTAGACAAAGAGCTTTGCGTAGCTTTTTTGGAAGAATGCTAGAGCTCCGGTCTAGTTGAGGTAGTGAGCACTCCACTTGAGTGCTTGAAACCAGCTTCATGAGCTGGAAACCAAGGTTCAGATGTCCTTTTGTTTGATGGGAAGAAGTCTCTGTCGCTTAACATTGTTCATGTTGAAAAAGAACTCGAGGAGTGCTGCCGTCAAGAAAAAAGCGAGTAGACTTAGTCGATGGCGTGGGAAGGCCAAGGTTGACAGAAATACTTTCACATGGCTTTGCAGACAAGTCACTGACCTTGCACATGCTATCAAGCGTGGGCGCGCTGACACACCCTCCGCCTGTGTGCAAGACGCTCTTGCTGAACTCAAGCCCTGTTGGGAGCAGGTTTGGACATCAAGGAGAATGAAGCTTGGAGACACATTTCATCGTGTCTCCCGAGCCTGTTGAACCTGCCCGGTGGGCACACTTGACAGTAGATGAGCTGCTGAAGGTTGCCAGCCAAAGCAAAGAGTTTGCTGTAGGCATTGATGGCTGGTTTGTTGAGGAAACGTGCCTCGTCAGCAGACCAATGTGGGAAGAGCTAGCCGGCTCTACAAGTTCTGTGACGACCAAACTGTCGTGCCCTCCGCGTGGTTGCAAATACGCCAACTCCACTTGGGTAAAGGCAAAGCGAAAGATAGTGACGGTACTATGCTGACCACTAACCTTCGTCACATCAGCATTTCCAGTATGATGTGGAGAATTTGCAACAAAGCCAGGTTTCGGCGTACTGAAGCACAACGGTGGCTTTGTCGAGCTATGCCGCCCAGTGTGTACGGAGGTGTCCCCGGCAGAGGCACTCAAGATGCCCTTGGGCCCATTCCTGTTGCAGTCAACAAACGATGGTACGGGCACCATTGACTTAGAAAAAGGCTTTGACAGGGCCGACCCTGAGGTTGCTACACGTATCATGCGGCATTACTGCGTGTGCCCCAAAGTTGCAAACTTGTTGACCCACATCCGGGACCAGGTGGCTACAGTTACTAGGACTAGGACAAAGGTTGCCGGAACCTCAGCACGTGTCTTCGTCACTGCCTCAGGGTAACAGTTGGCGCATGACTGCCATGTCCTTTTTGCTCATCCCTTCCATACTTGACATTAGTTCTTGTGTGTCTCATGTTGAACATGCCATCTACGTGGATGATCGCCCATTCGCTTGTCGAACGGCTGCTGGCTTGGCAACAGTCACAAGCCAGGATGTGGAACGAGTGGGCAGGTCGCCTTGGACTGTCTGGAAACACTGACAAGGCTCAATACTTTCATGCCACGGTGAAAGGACAACGAACCTTGATTAATCAAGGGCTCCGACCGCTGAGTGTTACGTCTAACCTCGGGTACTCGTTTCTTGGTGCTTGTGCTAAGAAAGCCGAAAATTACGCGGCCAAAGGACTGTTGGAGTCCAAAAGCAAAGTCCTTCAGAGTAGATGCTTACCGGGACGCTCCTGGAAGTGTCGCATTTGCCCAAATGAATGCCACTCCTAAAGCTGGTTGGGGTTGGTTGTGCAGAAGACATTCGACCGCGGAACGCTGCATGTAAGGCGCTTTTCAAGAGCCCTAAGCAGGGCAGTGTTCATCTTAGCAGCATGATTCGTGGGCATTCGGGGGAGCCCGGTTTATGGCTGTGATCACCACAGTTTCGGTGCTTCATACGTATGTGGCTCGTACTGGCAACGCTCTCGTGCAGTGGTGTCGTGTTGCGTCTGGGTGGGTAGGCGCTTTGCGCCGTGGTCTTTGTGACCTTGGGTGGGTTGAAACCGCCATTCCTTGGACCTGGACCCATACTCCCCTTCGGTTGAGGCTTTCTCTTGTTCAGAACCGAGGCGGGTGGAAACAAGACCTTAAGGCGGCCCAACATGATTTGCGACAGTCATGAAGGCACACATGTTTTATCAAGTTCCGTCCGCAGACTCGGAATGATGCTCATGCATGTCGAGCTGTAGCACAGGGTCATAAACGGTTGAAGGCCCGTAAGACTATAAGTGTTAACTCGCACAGGTTCGCTGTCCCAATTGGGGCCTCGGTGAGCCCGGCCAGCTTTAAAGTCACGAAACAAGACTCGGACCACGGATGCCATTGGTGCAACTGCGCTCCTGTGGTGGCCACTCTTAAACACGGCACATGGGAGTGTCTTCATGCATCAAGGCCGCAAGGCCTTGAGAAACGGTGTTGCGCGGATGCCCCTCAGATGGCCGACTGGTCGTCCTCAGAGGCGTCGCTTCAGACATGGACATTCCTTCGTGGATGGCCATCTTGAGGAAAACCGTGCTGCAGCTGCGTCGCAATGAATGGCGACTATGAGGGCCGTCTAAGGACTCGAGCCCTTCGGGCTATTTAGGTGCAGCGCTTTCGTGTTGCGATGGTACTTTGGTGCTTTGGCCCTTGTGCCCACGCCTGAAAGACTCCTTGTGGTGCAGTGCTCTTGAGACCAGTGGCTCAGAGGGGGGTGAGTTTCTGACGGTTTTGTGTGGCTGTGCCCTTTTTTTGCCCCCAGCAGTTATTTCTTTGGCTTCGGTTACACTGAACGAAGGACTTGGACACTGAGGCTTCCTGTCGTGCAGCACCTAAGGATTCGAACCTGAGCTGTCTCCTTTTTCTTCATGGTTGGCGCCAACGGCGCCTTCGTTTGGCGCTGTCCGTCTACATGATGGTCAACCATTGGTCAACGTCAATGTCTACAATGTATACCCGTTCCTTTTTCGGACGACGACTCCCGCCATAAGCAGAGGTGGTGACCTTCTGTTTGTGGTTTAAAACCTTGCTCACTGAGGACCTTGCCGTCGCTGACCGCGCGGTTTACGACAATGTCCTGTGCAGTGCAGCTAAGGTATGCGGTTCCCTTCCCCTTTCCCTTTCCCTTCTGGCGGTGTGCTTCGGCATGCCGCTGGGCGTGCTGGTGACGTATGGCCTTGTCGGTGGCTTCGGCAACTGGCTTGGGCATGTGGAGTCAAAGCATGACAACAACACCCGCTTTGGCTCTGCTGAGTCTCTTTTGGCATCGTTGGCGCCTTCGGCGCCTTCCTTTGGCCTTGTCCGTCCTCGTGATGGTCAACGTCATTGTCTACAAGTTCTTTAAGTTCTTTTTCGGACGACGAGGTCATGGGCGTCCTTTGCGAGGCGGCGATCGACATCGACTTCGCCTGCCACCGCGCGTCCGAGATGCTACTGGATTTGGCGCTTTTGTAGGTGCTGTAGGTGCGCCGGGCGAGCGCAGAAGTGCACACCCCGGCACCGGCACCGAGTTTTGGGGCGGCGTGCCCGGCCGGGCTCGCGCTACGACCAAACAGGGGGACTGCACCTTTACCAGGATTTTGGATGTTGGCCAACACGTCGTCCGCGGGGCGCTTGTTGTGACATATCATTTATGCGTGTCGGAACAAGTGCTTGCGATCGCCAACTTCCTTCGGCTCGATCGCTTTTTTGATTCCCCCTCACGCGACCCTTTAAGGGACCGGCACAAGACTACCGGCCGGCACTCGCCCCGTTGGGCGGTATACCTAGGGTGGGCACAGAAGCGCGCGCCCCGTGTGAGCTTACCACCTGGCCAAGTGTTTTGTCACGTTTTCTATATACTCTACGCCGTCTGCTTGGTTTTCGCTTGCTTCTGTCTATACCACGAGTATTGACCGCAGGTTACATTATGGAATTCAGGGCGATATATACGTAAGCCAAGATCCAGGCAGAGTCTTTTCGAAAGGACATGGACAGGTGTGTTCCGAAGAGTCAAGCCATTGCAACAACAGCATCCGTGTGATTGGCTCATGACCGTGTTTGGTATGTTATGCTGCTGTCGTTTCCAAACGGCATTTTGCAAAGTACACATCGCCATCATTCCCACCACGTTGATGCACACCGCTTCGCCTGGCTGAGAGGAGAATTCGAGTGATCTCAGCAGCGACGATTTGGAAGTCATGGCTGAACGTGCAGCTGGGCAGGACAAACCACGTTTCGTGCATGTGCCGCTGTGCAAACCATGTACTCGTTTACACATTGACAGGATATCTGCTGCATTTGCGTGGCAGTGCCCAAAGACACAGCTCTCGTGCCATGTGGTCACAAGGCTCGGTCCACTGATTCAGTGCCCATTGGCAGTTTGTTTATTTACCTTTGTTTTTGCCCTAAGGGACGCAGTGAAAGAACGAGAGCAGCAACATAAAGATCAAGTGGACGAAAGGTAGAAATTAATTGGCATAATAAAACGGACGTCTTCGATGGGTCTCGAAATAAAAGAAGAAGATGATGATGATGATGAGGTGGAATCCACGAACGAGGACCCCAAAGCCTTAAATGGAATGCGATTCGACAAGCACTTCGAAGTGTCAGCAAGAGATGATGGGTGGAGAGCCCCGTCAGAAATTCTGGTAGGTATGAACAGAGCCTCACGAGATCACTACTATTACTATTACTACTGCTACTACTACTACTACTTCTACTTCTACTGCCTCTTCTTTTGCCAGTGCTTCGCAGCTTAGGGACTTATGGAAATGCCAAGAGCATTTTCGTGAAAGGCTGGTTTCCGCGGTCCAGAGCTGGCTACAAGCTAGCATGGGAAAAAGATAAGAAGGTGCACATGAACGGAAGATCTATCACCGTACCATGGCCACCGTGAGAACATGGCAAAGCATGCCTGAAGCAGTGATTGTGGGACTGCCCATGTTCTTGAAAACTTCTTAGGGGATGTCGGCAACTGGGCTTGGGTTTCTTTTTGGGAAGTGTCGACACACTGGTGCAGGCTATGTGCTGGAGCTGTGCTGAGCAAGTGCGACTGCGAGGAAAGATGCCGAGATAGCGTGCCACATCAGATCCTAGCTTGCCGCTGGCAATGCCAAAATCTTTCTGTCAAACATTGCAGACTTGGAGAGCTGGGCGATTGAAGGACTTGGGTGCCCTGTGTGTCGAGCTCCGATTTCTGCAGCCGTACGGGCCGCTCGGTTGCAAAGATCAGCAGCATGACAGGGGTTCGCTGTCTCGAAAGCTAGCATTCATTTTTCACCCCAAGGTCTTTGATTCTTGCCGGACTCCTAGACAAGATGTTATTCTGTCCAAGACGCCGATGTTTGGTAGCCACAAAGCAGCCTTTTCCTGCTGGCAGGAACAGCTGTCACGCCGCAAGAAGCGGCTGTGCTCGCACTATTCGTCCAATCGAGACCCAAAAGTTGCCGCTGCAATGGATGTCGCATTAATTGGCCCGTTGTTTGTCGGACAGAGAGAAATTTCATATATTTCATATCATGCTGATGAGAGCTACTTGCAGGGCGCCCTGCTGTCCAGACTGATGGAGGCCTGATGCAGTGCTCACTTGCCTTGCATCGTGATAACACACGGTCAAAACCCCGTTAGCTAGGCTGTGTGTTGGAATGACCCACGGTTTCCAACAGTCTTGGATTACGAGGGCGGCCGCAACTACATGCATAGGTTGGGCCTGGCCGATGACCGATACCCCTGCCCGACACCCCTCGGCGGTCGCCCGTAACTCGACAGCAAACGCTGTAATGAGCTACAGGTAGGAAAATGTCGAGAGATGCTGCGCTGTATACTTGCGTTTGCAAACGTGCCAGTCGCCAGAGCTGTGTGTAGTCCGGAGAGTTGAATTTATTGCCGAATTAGGGTTTACGTGGTACGCCACAGGACTTGAGTTTGTGAGCCCAAAATCGGGTTATGGACAGGAATGCCTACCGATACCCCAACAGATACCCAGCCCGTAGCCCTTCAATCCGCACACTTAGATTAGCAACCTCGTAAGTATGTGCATATATGAATGTAAGTATGTATGTGTGTGTGTGTGCGCGTGCGTGTAGATATATGCATATATACACACACATATCATCTTATATCATACTATATGTATATATACACATTTACATGTATATGTGTATGCCCTGTATATGCGTATGTATATATAGATATGCGGCCCTCTTGTTCGGCGGACGCAAGTACACGCATCGATCGAGTTATAGGACACTGGCGCCAAAACAGGGTTTTGACGACGACTCACTTGCGCAGCTGGTTGTCTCCGGAACACGCTGCTGCTCGCAGCAGAGAACCAGAAACGCTTTTGTGCAGATCATGCATCTGAGAACTGGCAAGTGCAACCTTACGCAACGGAAAAAGATCTCGAAGTGTGGGTTGGACGAGCTCGAGAGCAAAGCTCAATCCATGCACGCTGACTGACAGCGGTTTGCAGTCAATCTCGGAGGCCCGAAGCCTTCGAAAAGAAATGTCAATCGTATAACCCACGATTGTGACAACACCGTGCGCAGCCGTACTTGGTTCCGTGCTTCGTCCACGAGCACTGCCAGCCATGCAGACAGGCTCCAATATACATGCAGTCCATTGTGATCGGAGGTGCACTATTCGATGAAGGCAGGATGAAGCTCCAGGAACTGTAGATCGGCCCATCGGCCCCTGATCGGCACAGGCTTTGTCAAGGATTCTTTGTTTGAACGTGCAACTTCGCCTTCAACTCCTTCGACTTTGGCCCATGCGCCTTTGCCTACCTGGCATGTTTCCATGTACTTTTCACGAAGTCGCCGGGGATTAGCTCTCCAGGTTCTGCTACACGCGCATTCCGTTTCAATCCTCCCGGGAGGCCGGCAGCTGGGTGCAGTAGAAGCCACGCAGAGAAACTCGAAAGCTTCAAAGGTTTGACAATCAAGTCTTGGCCTGTTCCAGTTGACTTCAAGCCGGCAGCCCCAAGAGTTTGCGAACGAACAGACCGAAGTGGAAAGTGGCCTGTGCAGTGGATGGGAATGGCACGCATGCTAGTCATATGGCGGGTTGAAGCAGCGATGTTTCTGCCAATTGCTCAGCTCTGCTCTCATTCGCTGGAGATCGACAGAGACATGTAAGCAGAAAATATCTGGAGGTTAGGGCATTCATTTCACGGCGGGCCTCACCCAGGCAATTGGCGTCGCGGTGTGTTGGGTTTGGTCTTGGGACCGGGTGCGAACCAGAGCAACTTCTCCATGGCATCTAGAAGCCGCCTGCGAATCTGCAACAGCTTGTTATCGCCTTTATGCTTGTATCCATGCACTGCCTCTCATGGCATCGTATGGCGTTGCCATGCATCGCTGTATGATCCGCCTTCCCTCTAGTTGCTCACATGTCAACTCAGTGCTTCAGTGCTGGCTTCCTCGCCTGCCCTCTTCCTTTCGATTCCGCTGACTGCGTGGAGTGGATCCTCGCAATTCTTGATGTCCAGGCAGCAGAAGCAATCGCGGCTGATTGCAAGGCATTGGGCATCGGACACTCTGCCACTGGGGAGCTTCAAGATAGTGTGAGGTGTCCACTGCCGGTCTAAGCATTGTCTGGGCCGCCACTGACATACCGAGTGCACCCCCACACTTTCAGGGCACCCGCCCATCTTGTTTTGCAGCGAGGTACCAGAACATCAGACTTGGTCAGCCTGCCAAGAAGGCTCAGTTACAGCAGATCTTCCATGCCAGCATCGCTGCAGCATTCGGAGCCGCGGTTCAAAACGAAGGTCGATTTCCAACAAGACGTCTGGCTTCTATGACATTCTCATCGGGCAGGGCGCTGAGGGCGCGCTGTACTAGAGGACCGCCTTTTTTCCCGGTCCTCTCAAACAAGAGTTCTTTGGACAGAGGCACACTGGACAGCGACAAGGGCTTCGAAGTGACCACGTGCGCAGGAATGATGTTCAGGCAAAGGGGTCATGGGTTTTAGAAGAATGCAGCTAAGCATCAGAGTTCTCCGGCAGATCAGGCCACTACCAGCTGGGCCTGGCCCCAAATCCGCAGCGATCCGCTGCTGCGGCGCTGTCTTTGCAGTTTGCGAGGTGTCTCCACTCTGCAAGAAACTGATGGCGCAGGAGCCTGCAACTTGTCCACTGTACCTCGTCGGGTAGCATGAGCAGCACCCTTCACGCGAATCATCTGCACGGGCGTGAGCTCAGCACAGCGTGGCGTCTGATTGACGGACTGATCAACCTTTCAATAGTGGCTTTGTTTGCACATTCCGCGACATTCAGAAAATCTCCGGAGTCACTTCGCTTCGACAGTGCTTCACTTCACGTCTGCTATCATGCCCCGTGCTCGTTGTCATGCATACCTTGTAGGGTTCTTGAAGCTTCCAACCTCCCTTCGCTCTTCTTCGTTTCGGTAGCCTATGCAGCTCGAGACCCGGCACGGCCGCAGTATGCCGCAGTGCTCCAATCTTACAGCTTAACCTTCGCTTGGACTTGGAACATCGGTTGAGCTTTGCACCAGTTTCTGTGCTGCGTCCATGGCACGCCCACATTGACACGGCTGCACCGCATGTTCTCTTCGATGTTGGCCGAATCGAAGGTTAGGCCCTCACTTCCCTCACTCAAAGTCCTTGGACGCAGTGTTGCCGGACCGACGGTCAATGTCTGCGTTTTCTGAGCAGACATGACTCACTCAGACATGCCATGTCCAGTAAAAACCCGTTTCTGTTTGCGATGTTCCGAAGGCTTTGTTTGCTTCCCTCCGCCTTGCAATGCTGTTGCGTGTTGCTTACATCCTCGTCGATCTTGCAGTAGATGATGACAGCCCACCCTCGACGTTAGCTCGACCAAATTGCCCGCGTCTTGCGCGTCGCTTCTTGCAGAGACTGCTTTGCAACACACTGCACGTTTGGCCCCTGGTAGTTGGCAGGACATGCTGCAAGCTGTCTTGCTGATGCTGAAAACTGAAGAGGCCGCCGCTGGAACGGAAGGAGTCGGGGAGTGCTCGGTTCAGAGCCCTGCTCAGAGGCCTTGGTGAGCTGGCTCTCCACTGAGACCTCGGCCTCTGGCAACCCAACCAAACGGCGACGTCTCGGCCAGGCACACTCTGACAAGGACTGCGCAAGCGATTCTACTAGATTCGCACGAGATCCCGATGATTTGCACACTGTTTCACATGCAGCGCGAATCCAGAAACACGTTGAAATGCTGCTATTTTCAGGCTCGAAAGAGCTGCGTCTAGGCAGCGAGGATATCACTGAAATCTCCTGAGCTTATGACATGCGTTGTGCAGGGAACGAGAGACTTTGAGCAAAATGATCTTACTGCAGTAGTACGGCTAGTGGCGTGAAGGCCCTGATTTTACGAAAGGTTTCCATTGCTTGTGTTTGCGTTCTCTTGAGCGATGACCTTGCTAGCCTCACACAGAGATGCCGAGCGGAAACTCGAATCCAGCCTGCAGATGCAGAGCGGAAAAATGAGAATACCGTGAGCGCATGAGACCAGAAATCAGTGGTTGTCAGTTGTGACCCTGCGCAACGATGTCATGTTCAGGACACCATGCTGGTTCACTACCCGATGCAGCTGACCTATCGTTGTTCTCGAAGCTGAGAACTGGTGCTTGGACTTAGTCGTGCTTTGGGAGCGAGGTATGCTTGGTTCAAGGAGGCGGCCACCTCCGCAACCTACCGATCGTCAAGGCGTGTCGGCAGGGCACACGGCTCATCTCTGACTTCGCAGCACCGAGGACAAGGTTTCACTCCGTAGAGCCTTTTGCGCATTGGTCTCGCAAGTGTCAGCCTCAGATTTGAAGCTCCTAGCTTTGCACACTCCACAACCGAACAGACGACTCCAGGCAGAGACTTGTTTTCCTCAGCGAGATGAAGGGCGTAGATGCGTTCGGAGCTGAAATGCGTTTGCAATCTTCGTTTAAGTTATGCTCCAGCCAATGTGCCTCATGTGCGCATGCTGCAACACTGAGGTTTGAAGTGGAGGTCTCGAAGATGGATGCCTGCGCACGACTGCCAGAGTGCTGCTGTCCACTGGCTCTCGCATCTAGCTCAGTTTGTTTGGTGAAGGCATCGTAAGTTCTGTGGGAGGGGTTGCCAAAACACCACATAGGCACAGCCAATGGCTGCCGTCGGGAGTGAGAGCGGTGCTCCTATGCCTATACCAGAGGAAAACATGTCTCGCCATCAGCTCATTCGTTTGCTGTGTCAACTTGTGCATTTTGGGACCATGCAGCACAGCAGCGTCATAACTCTTCCATGCACCTCGTGAGCATTGGCTACGGAATTGCTAAATCTTGGTGGGGGCCATGGCATTTGTGAAAGTGCTGAAGAATGCGGCCTACTTCAAGAGGTTCCAGGTGGCGCGGAGGCGGCGGCGAGAGGGGAAGACGGACTACCATGCTCGCAGGAAGATGGTTCGCCAGGACAAGAATAAGTTCAACAATCGGAAGTATCGCTTGGTGGTTCGTTTTTCCAACAGACGGTGCATCTGCCAGTGCGCGTATGCGACCCTGAGGGGGGATGTTGTGGTTGCAGCAGCTTCTTCCAACGAGCTCGCTGGCTTTGGCATCCCTGCCGGCCATAAGAACTATGCGGCGGCTTACGCTACCGGGCTTCTGCTGGCGCGGCGAGTCCTGAAGCGATTCGGCTTGGATGAGAAGTTCAAGGGAAAGGAGGAGCTCGATGGTGAGGACTACCACATCGAAGACGAAGACAACGAGCAGCGGCCTTTCAAGTGCATTCTGGATGTTGGGATCCGCCGAACTTGCGTGGGCCATCGAATGTGGGGAGCGCTGAAGGGTGCAGTTGATGGTGGCCTTCACATCCCTCATAGCACGAAAAACTTCCCTGGATTTAAAGCAGCAGATGAAAAGGGCGGCGAGTCCGAGTACGATGCTGAGGCTCACAAGGAGAAGATTTTCGGCAACCATGCCCGAGGCTTAGATTGTGCGTAGAGCATGTTGCAGGAAAGCTGACGTAGGTTGTCTTGGTATCCAACGCAAGGTGAAGGAGTACATGGAAATGCTGCAGGAGGAAGATCCGACAAAGTACGAAGCTCATTTCTCCAAGTACATAGAGAATGGCATCGATGCCGAGAAGATGGAGGATATGTACACAGAGGCGCACGAGAAGATTCGCGAGGATCCCGACGGAGAGAAGTCAGAAAAGAAAGACATCACCTATACGCAGGATGGGGACACCATGAAGGCCTCGGACGGCACGGATCATGTCCGCAGCCGCAAGATTTCGCTCGAGCAGCGCAGGGCCAAGGTCGCCGCCAAAATCGCTGCCGCCCAGGCAAAGATGATGGAAGAGTGAGAAGAC